CCTAGCAACAACTGTAGCTCAGTTTCTAATGAGCCCAAGAACATAAATTAATGAGGAAAGACTTCTTGATAAGAACTCCTAGAAAAACTAAAAAGAAATTTGGCAGAAATCAGATTGAGACTGGCATAATATATCGAACCACAATAAGCTCAGAATTAAAGTGACTTGTATATAAAGTATCTAATCATTTTTTTAAAAAAATCAGAAGATAATAGGGATGGTTACCTTTCACAAATGCAGCTAGAGCACAAATCCTTAACCAAATAAAGGCTGGAGGACATCAAAGAAGATAAAACAGACAATTTTAACTACCTAAAATTAAAAGGCTTTAGTAAAAATAAAGTAAATGAAGATAGATTCAAAAGACAAGAGTGGAGAAAATATCTGCATTAAATAAAACTCTCACACAGACATGGAAAAAATATTACATTAAATAAAAGGCTGACAGATAAGGAATATAATGAAATATACTCAATATATGGGGAAATGAAGTAAATATAAAACACCAAGAGCCACTCTCCAATATTGGAGTGGTCAAAGAACATAAACAGTTTTCAAAAGATTTGCAAATTACTTTTTGATCATATGAAAACATGCTTTAAAACTCTAGCAAGAGAAAAACAAAACAACTCAAAGTTTCACTGCTTCTTCCATGCAAATTGACAAAGATGACAAAACATGGTAATAATTAATAATGGAGAAGCTTCAGGAAGACAAACAAATGTTCTATCATATAGGCAACGGATGGGCAAATTATTAATTGATACAACTTTTAGGATTTCAATTTGGAATTACACATGAAAAGTAAGTAAATTGTCCATATCCTTTGGCCCAACAATCTCACTACTAGGCATATACACACAGGAAGCGAAAGACAAAACCAAAAATCTGGTAATATATCAAAATATTCACAGAAGCATTGTTTGTTGTAGCAAAGAACTGGAAACAAAGTAGACTTCCATCAACTAGGGAAGGGTTAAAAAAAACCTGTAACACGTGAATGTAATAGAATATTATTGTGCAGAAAATAAATTATGAATATGTGGAATTCAGAGAAACTTGGAAAGATTTGTATGAATTGATACAGAATGAAGTGAGCAAAACAAAGAACAACATATCCTGTGACTATAATGATGAAAAGGTAGTTGAAGTAACAGAAATACCAATAAAAGTAATTGAAAAACCAAGGAAGTCTTGGAGACATGTGTATAGCATTTTAAGATTCACAAAATGTTGTATGTATATTATCTCATTTGAGTCTCACTCTTATGAGTCTCACTCTTTATTAATCCCATCTTACCAATAATGAAACTAAGGCTGAAAGAGGTTAAAGGAAATGCCCAAAGTCACAAAGTTAGTAAGTATCTAAGGCAGGATTCAAATTTAAGTCTTCCTAACTCCAAGTCCAGCACTCCATACATTATGCTACAGCGGAAAACAGAGAGCAAAACACAGCCCTTCCCACACAGCAGGTAAAAGACCATTAAGAGAGAAAATCATATATAGTGTCAGAAAAGTTTTTCATCACATGTTCTTGCCTAATTATTCTTCTTTGTCACAAAAGCGTTCAATAAGAGAGGAGAGACTAACCGTGATATAAAGAGAAAAAACATCAACAAAAAAAACTTTTTTAATTCACAGTACAAAAGCAAGAAAAGAGCCAGTAATAAAACCCATGGACTCAGGTTCAATACTTCCAGTAATGCACAAAGTATAAATTACAAGCAAGGGATCCTAATCAAAGGGGGCAACTTTGACTTTATAGGTTTCACTAAGACTTAGTGGGATGATATCCGTAACTGGAATATAGCTCTTGAAAAACAGGTTTCAAATAAGGGCAGGTCTTATTTTAAAAAAAAAAAAGAAAAGAAAAGAAAAGAAAAAGCATAGGTAGAGGAATGGAGAATGATTGTATGTTAAGACATAGTCATGTGAAGAAATCGAGTAACTAGAAGAATGAAGCACAGTAGATAACAATTTGAGAGAAGATAAATAGAAACAGAAATAGAAATAATGTTATCAATATATACTACAGACTACTAGATAGAAAGGGGAAATTAAGGAGCATGGGGAACAGTTCACAAGTCTGGCATGGAGGCATAATATCTGATGTTATAATTTTATAACAATATCACTTTCTGTTTCTGCCACGATAAATTCTGACCCTGGATTTCCCCATGTGAATGTATATTAATACTGTATGTAATGCTTCCCCACTCTCCTTCCTTGTCCTATCTTGATATTGTTAATAAGGCATGCCTTTTTTTTTTCATTCTGAACAGACTTTAACGGAACTTAAATAAACTGATCTATAAACTTTCCATTCTAACTAGATATGCCTACGGCTCTTTTCATCTCTATAGCTCTCGATAAAACAACTAGCTTTTTTTTTCTTTTCCCATAACTGTAATCCAAGTAAAATAAAATACTCTTAACAAAGAGTTAACAACCTTTAGACAATTCTTTAACAACTGCATTTATAACCGAGCAATATCTTAATCACAAGAGAATTTATTTTCCTATCTGTGTTGGTGTTACAAAGTTTCACAACATAGACATGTATATAATTCTACATTGGCCAATACTAGGAAATGCATATACAGCTCTACCAGTTTGAATTCACACCTGTTATTATTTCCACTTACAAATTATTAAAAGTAATTATTTAGGGGCAGCTAAGTGGCGTAGTAGATAAGCTCCGACCCTGGAGTCAGGAGAACCCGAGCTCAAATCTGGCCTCAGACACACGACACCCACCAGCTGTGTGACCCTGGGCAAGCCACTCAACCCCAACTGTCTCACCAAAAAAAAAAAAAAAAAAAAAAAGGAATTATTTATACTTAAAAGTGTGCTGGGCTAAGTAGATGACTGAGCTTCTGCCCAGGCAGAAAAGCTATAAGGAATTAGGTTAGAAGGCATGCCTTTTCATCCCAGTTATAAATATCATCCCACCAAATTTAATGATACCCATGAAAAGTTATATTTGCCTCCTTTGGTTAAGATTTCTAGTTAACCTTGTTTTCCATATGATATTTTGAAATATGTTAAATCCTGGAGCCATAAGTTTTTATTTTGCTGGCTCTTTTTTTTTTAATCTTTTACTATTAATTTGTTTTTCAAACACTACCTTTTATTGACACTTTTTTGTCTTTATATCATAGTTTCCATCCACCCTTCAGATTTGAATCCTCCTTGGTGACAAAAACATGTACACAATAGTCTGTATTAGTAGTTTCCTCACCACACCTCTCTACTGTGAAGATATTATATTCTTCTCTGTCTCTCTGTCTCTCTTTATCAACAAATACTAATTCATAGGATAGAAATAATGGTAATCTGGGGAGAAAATGACCACTCCCATCTTAAATTCTATAATAAAGGAGAAGGAAGCCAGGCACAGATTGACACACATAGCCCAGGCTCAAAGAAAGCACATTTCTAAGGATTTAGAGAAAGGATAGGTAGGCTCTCATGCATTAAAATTCTATGTGGGAAGTCAGCCTTCCAACAGGGATATGGAGCTCTCAAGATAAACTCTAAAACAGTCAAGTCAACAAACATTTATTAAGTGCCTATTAGATGTCAGACACTGTGCTAAACACTAGGAATTTAAAAAAAGGCAACAAAAAAATTCTCTACTCTCAAGGAGCTCACAGTCTAAACTGTAATATTATAGGGAGCTCCCAAGTGAGGAAAATCCCTCTAATGCAGGTCAGCATCTTCTCTGAGTCTTGGAATTGAGACCACTGAGATTTTAAGTGATATAAAACAGCATGATTCAAAAGCAGGACTTGAACCCTAATTGTCCTAGCTTTAAAGACAGCTCTCTATCCACTACACCACACATGTAAAGCAAGGTAATTTCAGGAGATTAAGACAGTAGCAATTTGGGGATAAGCAGAGGTAGCAGGAAAAGACTTATGTAGATGGTACTTGAGCTGAACTTTAAGGGAAGCTAGGGATTCTAGGAGAAGGAAGGAAGGATAATATTCCAAGCATGGGAAGGAAGAAGGAACCACACAGACTGTGCAAAGGCAGAGAGGATCTTGAATGACATGTTGGAGGAACAACAAGGCAACCAATATAACTGGTGCATGAAGGAGCGCAATGTCAGCAAAGACTGTCTGGAGCTAAGTTGCTAAAAACTTTAAATACCAAACAGAAGAGTTTATATTTGATCATAAAGATAATAGAGAACCACTGCAGCTTCCTTAACATGGGAGTGAAATGGTCAGACTCATGCTTCAGAAATACCACTGACGACTTTGTGGAAGGTAGATTGGAGAGTAAGGATACTTGGGGGCAGTAAGACCCCATTAGAAAACTATAACTGTCCAGGTGAGACTTGATGAGGACCTGAACTAAGGTGGCCATGTGAATGGTCAAAAAAAAAAAAAAGGACAGATGCAAAAGATGCTGTGACAACAGAATCGATGAGACGTGGCAAATGAATGGACATGTTAGGTGACAGTGAGTAAAGAGTCAACAATGAGTCCAAGATTGGGGGGAGGGGGAAAGGGGGAGAGAGCAGAAGCATGACAGCAACTTCCACAAAAATATGGAAGTTCAGAAGAGGGGACGGGTTTTCGGTGAAAAGATGTAAAGATTTTTTTAAAAGATACAAAGTTTATAAGAAAACAAGGACAACAATTACATAGGACAGAAAGAGTGTAGAAAGGTTTTCAATAATCTTCAATAGAAAAAGCATATACTTTGAGAAGTTATCTTTCAAAGTGTTTTTTTAAACCACAAAAACAAATACTATGTACTTAACTTTTTAAACATTCAAATAATAATGTATAACATGTCATTATTTGGTAGTGGAGAAGAAAGACTTAAAAAAAAACAAAAAAACTATTGAATACATTTAAAAGTTTAAAATTCACAAAATACTCCTAACATTGAAAAAATATACAAATGATTCTGAAAACATATTATAATATGCAAAAAAAACCCAAATTTCAATATACAAAAATTATTGATATTTTGATCTTACTTACTGAAAAAATCCTTTTTCACCAAGTTTTTTGCACAGAGTACTGTAAAAGAAACAAGAAATATATTTTAAAAAATTAAAAGAATAAAGTTTCAAGAAATCTCAAAAGTCCCAGTTAATATATTGTATGACAGAAAATTGAATATCCTTAAAACATTAGCTACAAAAAATACATGAAATATGGTCTTAAAGAACAGAAAAATAAAAATAACTGAGCCAGAGGATACAACTTTAACAGTAATTTCAATAATAATTGAAAATAAGGAACTTCACAGTCTGCTGTCTTCTATAAAAGATTCAAAATTCAGGCTGTTTTGTGGAAAGGACAAGCTGCTTAACAGAAAATCATGTGAATTTAACCAATTCTTCAGGGGAAAACAAGTACATGTACTCAAGACAGCAGTATTACTTTACCTGTTCTCTGTAATTTCTCATAAAACACAAAGTCATTTTAAAGTTATAACATATTTTTGCAACATTAAGGCTTAATGTTAATAGATGCTTTCATTACAACATTGTGAAGTAGGTTGCTTTTTTTTTTCTTTTTAAATCAATCATTATGTGCCAGGCACTGTGGTAGGTACTAGGGGTACAAAGACAAAAATGAAACAGTCCCTTCCCTCAGGAATTTATGTTCTATAAGAGAAGCATGCACACAAGTATGTACAAATACATACAAAATAAATCAATAGTAAAAGGGGGGTGGGGGAAGGATAGGCTCCAACAACTCGAAATATGAAGAAAAGATGGCACTTAAGCAAAGTTTTGAAGAAAAAAATTCTAAAAGGTGGAAGTGAAAAGAGAGTACACTCCAACATGGGGGACAGAATATAAGTAGACATTAAAACCGTTGCTAGGTAGATTTGAAATTGATTTTATATTGAAACCACTGAAACCTAAAGGGGCCAATATCAATTTGGAAAGATGTCTGCAACAGATTTGGGGGTTGGGGAGAGTATTCTGTGCTTGGCCTTATTTGCCGTTAAAAGCCATAAATGGCAAATGTAAAAAAATTTGGAGATAGTAAAAAACTAAGAAGGATAACTAACAAGTTGAATGACAGAGTCAGGACCCAAAAAGATTAACAGGCTAGAACACCGAACCTAACCGAACAAAATGAACTTCAACAGACATGATAAATGTAAAATCTAATGTCTGTGCAATGACTTGGAGGAAAGAAGATGGAATATTCTGAACAACAAGTTCAGAGTTTGACAATGTGAGAACTGGAACCAGACTGGAAGAAGACTCCTGAAAGAGAATTGCTCTTTTTGGGGTAGAAAGAGAATTGTTCTTTTTGGTGCAGGAAGAAGACTTTCAAATTTCCTTCCTCACTCCAACCAAGATGCATCTCAGTAGGAACTGAGACACACACTGGGTTCAGATAATTGTGAACAAACAGTCAGTCACTAGAGAGAAAAGGCAGATTCAAGGAATATTGATCCCCTTTTAGTGGAGACAAGGACAAGATACAGACTCAAAAAAGGACTTTTAGTAGCAGGCATTTTGAGTTACAACACATGTTCCCTACATATGTTTTAACACTGTTATAAGTTAAGTTTGAACATATTTAACTAGGAAATTGTCATTGTGGGAGAGGGTGTACCCTCCAAGTTTGGGGGGAAAACATTTTGATTGAGGGAAACATATTTGGTTTAATGAAGCATACTGGCTGATTGTTGATAAGAAGCATACTAGTGGAGGCTGAGAAATTACAGAAGTATAGAACCCTTAAGAGGAGCAGCAGTCACCCTCTGCGGACCCATTGTGAGTTTAAGAAGGGCTGTGTTATATCTCAAAAGGGCTTTCCTGATCCTTCCAGCTGTTAGTACTCTCACTCCCTCCAGCATAATTACTTCATGTTTTCCATATATTTTGGACATATGGATACATATTTTTAAGTGTGCATGTTTCCTCCCATAGACTATAAGCGCCTTCAGGGCAAGGTCTGTTTAATTTATGTCTTTCTGTCTTCAGCACTTAGCAACAGCTACACACAGTAAGTAGTTAATCAATGTTTTTTTGATTTATTGAGTTGCCTGGGGGAAATTAAAAGAATAAGTGACCTGTTCCTGGTCACATTGGTGGTTTATGTCAGAAGCACAACTTGAATTCAGATCTTCTTGGTTACAAAGTTATTGCTCTATATTCACCCTACATTCACTATATTCACTTCCTTTTTTGACATAATATATAAATATGCCTGTTTTACAGAATAAGAAAACTAAAGCTCAGGTTGTATCTTAACAAGAATTAAACCCCTGATAAGTGTAAGAGCTGACACTGTGCTTCTAATTCCAAAGACTTCTATTCTTTTCCACTTATTTCATGCTACCATCAAAAATCATGTTTTCTGGTCCAATATTAAATCTTGAACTAAATTCTTCACGTTGAAAATGGTGGCTATAATTTTATGTTTAGTTGATATTATCTACACCAGAATGCCAAAATCATCACTCTTGAAAGAACTCATAATTTATTTAATAAAAGATACTAAATAATAAAAATAATAAAAGATATTAAATAAAAGATTTTATTTAATAAAAGTACGATGTCTTTTTTATTGATCCAGGAGTTGCAGTCGAAATGGCAAAATGAGGAATAAGACAGCTCAGTTTCCACACAACTATTCCAGAAAAAGGATGAAACTACAGGAAGTGCCTTCGTCTAGCCTAGGTCAGCAAATGAGGGCACCCAGAGAAGCTTGCATGCACTAAGGAGAGGGGCCCAGGCAGAGAAAACAAATGGAAGGAAGTGTAGGGTTAGAAATCCTTCAAAGCCCCACAGGTTGAATGCTTTAACCAAGAAACCCCAGGCACCAGGACCTGAGGATCTGAGTAGTCCGCAAGGAATCTGTGGACTCAAGGCCACGGGTTCGCCACCCGCGTCCTAGGGAACACGGAAAGCTTCCAGTGAGATGGAAACAACCATCCTTCTACCCTAAGGATCCACAAAGTTTACAGACACTGACCCGAGTTTCCCCTTAATCTGGTAGAACTGAGTGCTCTGTCCCCTAACAATAAAGGCAAATCTGGCACAAAAGATTGAGCAGAAGTGATCAACAGGGAAAGGACTACAGACAATGCAGATTCAAATTAAACAGAGGAAGAACCACCAAGGTAGCAAAGTAGGATAATCGAGCAGTGTGACCCAACTCCCCCAACAACTATGCAATAATCTCAGATGGGTGCCAAACTAAGAAGTGATTAGAAACTTTAAAAGAAACCACAGTGAATAATCTTTCCAGGAAAAGATCACAAATTTGACCAACAGGCAAGTCACCAGAGCAGGAATTAAGGAACAGAGTGTGACTGCAAAGCCACACTCCAAAGAACAGAATAGAGGGATTGGATTATTGGACTGTCTCCAGGCTCTGTCTTTTTAACCCAGGTAAAGAACGGGGCTGCAGCATGTAGTTATAACTCCAGAGGCGGAATCTAAGATTCAGCTTCTGGCATAGGAGGCACAGTGTGGTTCCCCTACCAGGAGAAAGGAACCTCAGAGCCTGGAGCAGAAGAGGCCCACAGAACTGTCTCTCTAATCCAAGAGAGGGTGCCTCTGAACCAGAGCCAAGGAGAAAAACTGGACTACAGTGCTTTAGCTCGGAACTCGGCATCAGAACAACAAATAGGACAGGTTAAGAACATTATAAATAACCACTACAGTTCCATCAGAAACATGCAGAGCCCAACTCTAACACAAGTCCCAATACAATCAATAAAGTTGGAAGAATAAATAAACATAAAAAGATAAAGAGCTATTATGATGTCAGGTATTCACAAGATACAAACCAGAAGATAACACTAAAATATCTACAAGCAAAGACTCGAAGAAAATCATAGCTTGCCCATAACTATAATTTCTAGAAGAAATTAATTAAGATTTTTAAAATGATAGTATAAATGAAATGAGAATCCAGGTCATGTGGCCAGTAGAATGATGGCCTATACCAGTGGTTCTCAAAGTGTGGTCTGAAGACTCCCAAGGGACCTCCAAGACCCTACTATTTTAGTAACAGTAGTACCAAGATGTCTTAATTTCTAACTCAATAAATACTGACACAAAAATCCCACATAAACAAGAACTCTTTGGGAGTCCTCAATAATTTTTAAAAGTGTAAAGGGGTCCAGAGACTAAAAAGCTTTAAATGTTCTCCAATCTTCATGACCCCTCAGACGTCTCCAAAATAAGAATTATGTCAAAGGGATAACTGAGCTAACTCAACTGGCTATGAACCTGTTGTGAGAATTCTAGTGAGGTAACAGTCTGATGAATTAACACCAGAGAAGGCTAATCACTAATATGGTGATGCAGCACTCCACATCCCACTAGCCCCTATGCTCTGACAGGGCTATACAAACAGCACCCATAGGCTTCTACTTTGGGACTCATTTAGCAATTTCTTTGCAGCTGCTGTAGTCTCTGCAGGCACATCCCACTAGCACCACACTCCACCATACTGAAGCAAAAAGTAAGAGAACTTGACTGTACTCCATGCCATACTGGGAGGAGATGTAGGTAGAGGAAAATGGGAAGCTTGCTCTGTCTAGAGCAGCAGTGTGCTGCACCCTAAGCAGTGCACAGCCACAGAACAGAGAACAAAGGGAAATAGGGCAGATCACCAGCTTGGGAGTGAGAAGGGAAGGCGCTCTACCAGGCCTGAAGGGGATTGGGATTCAGTTGAAGCCAGTTCTGTCCCCTCTGAAGTCAACTGGGGCAGAAACTGTGGAAAGAAGCTGAGATAGCTTTGAGGTTCAGTCTTCTGGGGATCTACCATGAAAAGAGAAGGCATCAGAAAATGATGCCTACAGGTAGATTAAAAATAAATATAGGGTTGAAATTACCCAAGATCTCAGGAGATAGAAACTCAATTAAAGACCTTGAGAATAAACACATAAACCAAAAGAAGGTATTATAAAGAAGGGAAGGTTTCAAAGAATAAATATTGCAAGACAAAGAAAAATGAATTAACAATTGATGAGACAGAAAATCCTATGGATTCCCAAAAAACCACGGAATCACAACAGGATGTTCCCAAATGTT